AACCCCGGTCATCTGAAAGCGGGGGGAGCGCGGCATAAGAGCAGGGTAAGTAAGTGAGCAGGGTGGTAAACTGCAAATGGGCAGGGTGGTCAACTGCAAGTGAGCAGGGTGTTCAACTGCAGAAGAGCAGGGTTGAAGATCTAGCAGGGTGGTAGAGGTGCAAAAGAGCGGGGTCGGCAGAAGCGCAGGGTAGCCCAGGCTGGGGAAAGGGATGGCCTCGGTGCCCCCTCGTCCCCGCCTACCTGACCACGCCCCGCCCCTAAATCCCTGGACCACGCCGCTGTCCCCCTCCACTCCTCCGCGCACGCAAGTGCCGCCGCTATGAAAATGTTGTAGGTACACCGTATCCACGGGGAGCATGGAGTATCCACGATGACTGAAGCGCTACACGGCAGAGCACTGACATTTCTAATTTCATAAGTTTCGTTTAACAAGGGGTGATTATAGGGGCTACTGTGATTCCGTCAAATCATCGCATCTGTGGCAGAAATAAAAAATTATAGTGTTTTAAATGCCATAAGTTTTTTTACGTTTTGACTTGGTTTGGGCCAAATTATCACACTTTTGGTGTTATATGATACAGGTATGCAATCCAATACAATAAGGCCTTACATCTACCTTATAAAATACCCGTTTAAATTTTCTGTCTTTTTAAGATGTGGTGCTTTAGGTATGCACATTCACATTTTTTTTTATTTAAAATACTTATTTGTGCTGGTAGCATGATCCTGGATGGCACGGAACAGTCACTTTTCTATTTTATAAAAAAAAAGCTAAAATTGGTAGATGGCCGGGCGAAGGGCCGCGATGGTAGGGAGAGACAAGCATTCGCACAATGCAGCGGGCCTGACCCAGTCCGGCCCTGGCCTCCACGGCCTCCACGGCTCCTTCGAACCGTGTCGAAGCCTGTGGCCTCATTCCGAGAGTCGTCTTCGTCGCTCTGTCACTCTTGCACCCATGGGGCATCCCGTAGAGGTGCGAGAGAGACAGCGACGAAAACGAACCTCAGAATCAGTCTACAGCAGACCCCGGGACTCGATGCGAGTCGAGCGGCGAGGCAACCCAGCAGATCAGGGGGAGAAGTGAGCAAACAAGCCGGTGGCGCGCTGACATCACCCTTCCCTTGCGCCTCCCGCAAGCTGCCTTTCACCTTACGGGCCCCACGAACGCTGCCCGTCACGGAGTGGGTGGCGCGGCGTGGTGGTCGCGTTTGTCATTTCGTCTGCGCGATGTGGCCGATGTGGCGCCTAGAGTTCTACAGGCGCTTGGCGGGCTCATGGAAAGTGCGACGCATAGATGGTCTGTGTGCCCCGGCGGATCGCCTGTCACCTTTACAGTTGACTGATTCTCGTCGCTCTGTCTCTCTACCTATACGGTACGCCCCACGAGTGCGAGAGAGACAGAGCGACGAAGGCGGTCCTCGCAACAGTGGTAGCCAGCCACGGCTACACAGATAATTTCCTACAAGGGACGTTTCATTTTTGGCGCTACTACAGAGAAAATGGCGGCTTTGCACCCTACGAAGCTGATCGGGGCCCCTTCGTTTCGACTTCGGATGCGTCAGTCCATTTACGTTTCATAGGAAAATCGTACCGCAGCGAGAGGATTTCCCGTGTTTGGGCATGACGTGGCCTGCGCGCGGCAGTGTGGAGTTGGGGCAGCGCCGAAGCCGCCGAAGCTGAGGCGGCATGGCACGCTGGCAGACATGCCATGGTCCAGCCCATGGTCATGAAATGCAGTTTGGATCGGCCAGGCCACCCCACTAAGGCGGTCGGTCCTTGGTCGGGCCTAGGTTTTAAAATTACGGTAATTTCAATCTGGACGGTAAATTACGGTAACATTGGTAATTTACCGTCATTTACGGTAAATAACGGAAAAATTCGATCCTATGTTTGTGTGCACTTTTGCATATGAACTGTTATATTTGTTTCAAAGGGAATTTAAGACTAGCGGTGTTTAAAAGGCATATGAAAGTGGTTGAGACCCTTTTATTGTCAAATATTCATGCCCTTGAGCACTCTGAGAAAATGTCTGCTGTAAAAACATCAGAAGGTTAGGTTAAGTCGAAAATTACCGAATTTACCGATTTTCGCAGGGTAAATTCTAAATTACCGGTATTTTACCCATTCTTATCGGTAAGTTTACCAGGCTTTAAATCCCTAGTCGGGCCGGGCCCAGCGGGCGGACGAACTACGAACGGGCGCGCGGAATAGCGGAATGTATCATCGTGTCCTACACTTGGATTAGCAGTGTATGCCCGTCCGCTGATATTCATAAATACGAGACGGGCCGAAAATGGTAAGCTTGTTCAAACTCCGATAATTCACTAAAAACCGATCCGGCTCGGACCTGGGACCGGCTCGGCTCGCCCGGCCGAAGGTATCGGTTCGGCCTTGGCACCGCAGATACACTGCCAATCTAATTGTTGGACAGTCCCACACTTACGGGCGAGGGACATTTTGTCCCACGCTAGCAAGTGTAGGGGGACAACGATGTCTCGCACTTGCAAGTGTGAGACAGAGTATGTCTGCGACTTGCTTGCGTGGGGCCTGTAGGAACAAACCGTGTCTCACACTTACAAGCGTGAGACAATCCTTGTCTGACACTTGCAATGCAAGTGCGGGACGTACGTGATTCACACAAGTGTGGGACAAAATGTGCCACGCATACAAGTGTAAGACTGTCTCACACTTATTTGCAGTTTGGTTCAGGTTCGACACAATAGGGCCCGGCCGCTCGCTCGGGACAGCTGGCACAGCATTTTGGTTTTGACTGTATCCCAGTCTCCCATGAGACGCGTTGCTTCAAGTTCAACTTAGGGTGTAGCTTGTCGCGCACTCTGTAGCGCGAGAGGGTAAGAAGGGACGACGGGCGTGACGCCTCCCCCCCCCTTTCTGCCTCGCCCCTCACGCTCCGACGCGTGTACCCCATGCCGCCTTGGCCGCTCGCACTCTACTTTGCGGCCGCAGTTTTGATCGGACGGACGTTTGATTTCCACCAAATGGATTCAGAAAAGTTCAACGCGCGCCCTGCCAGCCTGACGTGGCGCAATCCACCGGCTCACATCTTTTCCGCACACCGAAAAACCAAACGTGGTTTATAGACCACACCAACTGTTTCCTCGTGCGGACAAACTACGCCACGTTTGGTGATGAGGTCTAAGTCACTGTCCACACCACACGTGTGGTAGGCCCTTTTTTGGATTTTCAGTGCAAGGACCTAGGCGGGGAGGAGCGGAGGGCGTCCCCGTAAAATGCTGATCGTTGGGCCCTCCGCCCAGGCAGCCTGGCTTAGCCTGCAGTGCAGCGCCACGCCGCGGTGCGGCCCGGCCCGCGGAAAACAGAACCGACGCGCTGCACAACAGTGACGTCCGTGGCGACGGGGCTAGCCCAGCCCTCTGCCAGCCAGCAGACTGATTCCGAGAGTCGCTTTCGTGGCTCTGTCTCTCTTGCACCTATACGGGATGCCCTATGCGTGCGAGAGAGACAGAGCCACGGAAACGACTCTCGGAATCAGTCTGCTGGCTGATTGCGAGCGAGATGTCACTCTCACTCGCACTTATGGGTGCAAGGCCAGCGGGCCGGCATGTCAACGTGTCATCTCCTCCCCCTGCTGCCCCCTCTCTTCCCTTCTCTCCGCTTTGCGCTCCGCTCCCGCCTCGCGCTGTCCCGGTCATTCACTGGTCATTCGGGGAAACCGGCGACGACGCGAAAACCATCTAATTGCGAAGCAATTGTCCTTCCCTCAAAGGCAAACACCGGCCCTGCCGGTTGCCACGAACTAGTGCGTCACAACATGCACCACGATCTGAGTTATTTTCTACTTGCCTATCACTTTTTTTTTCGGGCGCCGAGCAGAATGTTAGACTTGGCAGGGCGCTGTCGTCCGACGGGCCGAGTTCGATTCCTCGTAGGCTGCTATTTACCCAAGAATGAAATCTTTTCTCAACCATTTCTATGGTGTTCGGAAGATTTGGCGTAAAAAAAACATCAAGATTGATTTGTGAAAGTCGCATTTTCTCCACCGGGGCGTATTAGGGCGTATCTCTCAGCGAGCCCGGCATCGAATTTTCTGCGTGTCCGGGCGACAGAAAATGCGCTGCTTGGCACGGCGGTTCCATCAAGACAAGGTAAGTTGCACATTTATTCACCATGACTGCAGAGCGTCACTTGAGTTAGCAATGACCAGGGTGGTACTAGGCAAGCATAAGGGGGGGGGGGCAACGACAAGGCAATGCAAGCGGCAGATGGACCGTGATCTAGGCAGTGGGAGTCCCAGTGGCCGCGGCCGCGCTGGGGTGCGCTGCGCCCCGCACCTCCTGGTGGGCAAAAAGTTGCACCTGCAGGCAGGCAACTTTTGCGAGATTTACCCCCCCCCCTTTTTTTTTTGAATCTGCGCCTGGTGCGGGCCGCGGGGCCGTATTCTCAGCGGCGCATGGTGGGAATCGAGATGGTTCAGAATTTCAGCTTTCCTCACCGCAAAATGCAACGCTGTATTGGTTCCGGCGTTGTGACTGCCTTGCACAGTGTAGTACCTTGTCTTTTCGATCTCTCCTTGTCTTTCTCGCTGGGCTGCAGGAAGAGCGAAGGAGCGAGACCGAAAACATGTGGACAGGCCTGACGAACACCGCTCGGCGAAGCTGCCGTCGTTTCCAGGCCTAGCCGGCGGCCGGAGGAGGAGGGTAAGTGCAATAAAATGCCCCTCGGGCACCTTCGGGCCTGCACCGAGGCATTCGGATGACCAGCCCGCTCGAGAGTGGCAGACCTTCGGCAAGGTTCGGGTGCTACTGCACCGCGTGGGGCTCGGCTGGCTCGGCACGGGATCGGCTCGGCACGGCGTGGCCCAGCCAGTGTTGCTGTGACTTATCCGAAGTGAAGTGCTTGCAAGCCAGGAGACAGGACGAGCGCCAACGCGAGGGAGGATTACACTGTTTTGGGATTGCTACTCATAGGTATGTAACGTGTGCAGAAGCCGTGTGCGAAAGGGGATCTACTCAAAGGAAGCAAGGTGGGCGGAATCATAAAGTCTTTGCCTAGGCACGCGCCCAGGTACAGCTAGGCGTTAACAAAAGAAGTGCACCCAGCGTGCGGTCAGGTGTGCAATCATTCACGGTTCTCAGGGGTGCTGAGGGTGCCTGCGGTTTCTCTGATTTCATTTATCGTGCCGCATCCAGCGTTGCTGTGCGAGTGAGAGCGTGCGGGGGGCGGCCGGAGCCGCGCCGTTCCTTTGCCCGCGCATTTCCGAGTTCCGGACCTCGGACAACGCAATTGTCGGTACTCCGAACCAGTGAACCGCGTTTCTTAGTTGTGATTTCATTTACGATGCAGCTTGGGCGCTAGTGAAAGGTTGGGGCACCGAGGGGCGGCAAAAGCCGCATGGCGGCGGTTCCTTTCCCGCTCAATGGTGGGCACAACAGACTCAACAGACTGATCTCGAGAGTTGCTTTCCTCTTTCTCTGTCTTTCTCGCACTCATTGGGCGTCTCTAAGGCGTGCGAGAGAGACAGCGTGTTCGCGGGCGTGCGGGCCGCATGGTTCCTTTTCTGCGCAGTAGTCGGCGCAAGCAGAAAAAATCCAGAACCGTTTCCGTCGCTCTGTCTCTGTCTTTTGCTCGTGTAGGTGTTTGAGAGGGCGACGAGACGTTGTGTGGAATCAAGGGAAATCCGAACACGAGTTTGCGTCTCTGTGTCTCCCTTGCACTCATGGAGCGTTCCGCAGTCGTCCGAGAGAGACAGAGCGACGAGACGCAGTGCGGAATCCAGAGCAAAAGTTTGCGTCGCTCTGTCTCTCTCGCACTCATGGGGCACCTCGCAAGCGTGCGAGAGAGACATACCAACAAAAACGACTATCGTAATCAGCCTGCAGTTGGCAGGAAACCACTTGCCATGAAACCCTTTATCATGCTCACTTGTACACATGTACAATGCGCACGTTTGAGTTCTAGCGATTTTAGCTTTTTCGTTTGGGTAGCTGGGCACTGGTGCAGGCAGAGCGGGGCCGGGGGGAAAGAGGGGAGAGGGGCAGCGATGCAGGTCGGGACATGTCCATCCCCAGGCGAGGTGGCAAGATCCGTTCTCTGGAAAATCCCGAGCTCCCGTGCAGGCGGGAGTCGGGAGGGGCGGGGGGGGTCGTAGGGCCGGTCCCGGGGCAGGGTGGGGCGCACGTGGTGCGTGGTGCGGGCTGCGGGGAGGGGAGGGGGGGCACCCTCAGCCAGATTCCGAGCACTGCTTCGTCGCTCCGTTCCGCTCGCACACCAGCGGACTGCCCCATGAGTGCGAGAGAGACAAAGCTATGCACACTGCTCTCATCGCTTTGCCTCTCTCGCACTCATGGGGATGGGGCGTCCCGTAAGGGAGCGAGACAGACAGCGTCGAAAGCAGTGCTCAGAATCAGTCTTCGTCGCTCTGTCTCTCTCGCACTCATGGGGCGGTCCGTAGGGGTGCGAGAGAGACAGAGTGACGAAGCAGTGGTCGGAATCAGACGGCTGAAGGCTGCGGATGGGCTCCACGGTGGAGGCCGCGTTCTGCTTGGCGCCGCGCCTCGCGGTGCCGCATCCACGGTGACCGCGGATGGAGCTGCGGGGCGCTGGCGGCAGTCACGATGGCTCGCGAAGGGCCGCGGGCCGCGGGCCGCGGTTCGAGTCCTATCCGTGACAGTAGCTCGTGGGGTGGGGTCCTGCCGGAAAACGGCCTTGGTTGCTTGGGAGAGAGGAGTTCTTTTAGTTTTTAAAATGATTTACTGGGGGATTTTTTTAGCCGTCGTCTGTTTTTTAATGTCCCTAAAATAAGAAATGCTGTAAACCCATTTTAATTCTGTGCAGTTTTGCAGGAGCGATCCGTTTGTGATAGTGAATCGGGCCGTGCCTCTCTCGTCCTCTCGTCGACAAACCAAGGCTACTGGTGCACCTGTCAGTGCGCAATGGATGACGTCAATGTCGATGGGGCCCGGGAAGACGTCGAGGAACAATTAGACAATGTAAGTAACCGTGTATTTTTCCATGAGACAAAGGCTAATGGACTCGAAACGTGACCAGCGGGGAGCGCTGATTCCATGATTATGTCACTGGTTCTTGGCACGCGGTGCGAGAGAGACAGAGCGACGCAAAGCTGTTCGGAATCAGGCTGCTGCGACTCGCTGCTCCGCGACCACGCATGGGGCCAGGCTGAACCACTGCAGGCGTCACTCTATCTTTGTCGCACTCACGTCCCGCAGTTGGGCCTAGTCCTTTTCTCCAGTGCTGCCTTTCACCAAGGCTTGCATGCTGCTCGTCCTGCTCCTCGCTCCGGCTCACCCCTTTTGTCCCATCCCGTAGCGCGTCCTATGGCAGTGGCTAGGTGCACGCCCTGACACCCTGTTTTCGAAGCGCGGTGACGGTGACACGACCAGTCGACCGATTCCGCCGCCCGCAGTCCTTGCCGTGTCTCTCTCGCACCCCTAGGGCACACTTCACGTATCGCTCGACAAGGCCCGCAACGGTGGCTACGCCGGTTATACGACGTGCCGATAAACGCCAACTCCGCATCACTTCCAGTTCTTGATGTGGCCGGCGGCGCCGCGCAAGCGACGCGCGAGCTCTTTTGTTGCGAGGCTTGCGACGGCGCGGCGTGGGGGCTGGTTCACGAGGCCGCGGGCCCCACCGCTACCCGGCCGCTTCGTATCGAAGCATCGTAGTAGCGTGCCCAGCGCTTTCATAAAGTGACGACCGCGGCCATGCGTCCCTTCCCCGTCGTCTCCACGACACTAGGGCTTTGCTTGCCAGCGTTAGCGTGATGCTTCCTCCGCGCTGGAGAATGGGGGTTGTGTCGCGTCATGCATCTTCACTCACCAGGAACGTGACGTCACGATCGTTTGAATACTCATGTCACATCCAAGCAGTTAACCCTCATTTAGTGCTGGCGGAACAATTCAAAGAAGGTGCTTACATTTTTCATGTTTTGTTTCAGGCTTCCAACAGTCAGGAAGAAGGCTGGGTTGCGGGGTTTTGCATCGATGATCATGACAACGAGGAGGATCGGGAGCAAGATTTAGATGAAAATCAGGTTTGTACTTCTGATCTAGGGGGTCGGAAAGAACAGGGGGCAGGTGGGAGAACCGGGGTTTAGGGCTGAGTGAACTGTTAATTTAATCGAATCGGCCCTGATTCGATTCGTTTTTTATTCAGTCCAAATAGGGGAATGGGCACTGCTTCCTCTTCGTATTTTCGATGCCGAAGCGCCTTTTTTAAAACGACAGTTTAAAATCTGAAAACTTTGATTCGAATCTAAACTCATTAGAGCTCAACTGAATTCGCCGATTTTTAATCAGATTCGATTCGAAACATTCTGAGCAGATTTCATTCACACGCATTCTTGATCACACAGCCCAAATGGGGTTCTATCGTGAATCCGGTATTGGTTCGGCGCCGCCCCTTATGGTGCACTGTGAATCCAAGTGTGAGACAGTCTCACACTTGTAGGTGTGGGACAATTTGTCTCACGCTTACATGTGTGAGCCACGCTTGTCTCACGCTTGCAAGTGTGAGACATCGATGTCTCACACTTGCAAGTGTGAGACACGGTTTGTCCTACACTTGCAGGTGTGGGACCCGTGGCATTGAACCACAGAGCTAGCATAGGCAGCACACTTGCAAGCGTTAGACAAACTGTCCCACACTTACAAGTGTGAGACTGCCTCACACTTGGATTGGCAGTGTGACACTGAGATTCGAAGGGTGAGACATCTGTCCGATTTTCGGTGATACAAAAAGTATGACCGAAAAACGGTAATGTATGACCGAAAAACGGTCATACACAAATGTATGACCGAAAAACGGTCATACACAAATGTATGACCGAAAAACGGTCATACTTAAATGTATGACCAAAGAAAGGTCAGACATCAGCGAGACTGGCTATTGCTTAGCTTGGGGATCCTTTACCAAAGTATGACCGTTTTTCGGTCATACATCGAAGTATGACCTTTTTTTCGGTCTTACATTTCAGTATGACCCTTTTTCGGTCGTACATTTCAGTAAGACCGTTTAAAGGGGTCAAAAGTCTGACCTGTCTATTTTCAGTGGATGGGCAACCAGATATAGCCCTCTTTCAGTGCAAGCTAAACAATGAGAAAGTATAGCTCCTTCGCAATGTATGATTTATTTGTTTGTTTGTTTTTTTAGGCTTCCAACAGTCGGGGAGAAATATGGTCTTCAGTATTTTGCATTGCTGGTCAGAAGAAGGATTCAAAATTGTACATTGATGATGATACGGGCTACGTGTATCGGATTAAATCGTCCGACAAGTGGCTCAACTACATGGTGTGTCGCCATAAAAAATGCTCAGGCATTGCTAAAATGACGAACGGCGATGACCGGCACATATGCCAGACACGGGCTCACACCCATGAGCCCAACTCTTCTCACGCGGCTCAAAGGGCATTCCGCGAAGAGCTTTACTCCCGCGCCCAAACGGAAAGTAAGCCATTGTCGGAAATTCACCGTGAAGTCTCTGAGAGGTACGACTTTTTAAATTGATTTTTAGCGACCCCGAATTGAAATCCAATTTTAGTACTATAATATTTGGTGTACCACAATGATTGCCTGGGCCCCATATCAATAATATATTCGATTCTGATTCTGAGCCACGCTGTTACTCTCCATCACTTATTTTTGTTGTATGTTTCAGGGTTACAGATGAGGCTGTCCTCAGAGAAATGACTTTCAGCAACTTAGAGTCATCCATGTTGCGCCACCGGAACAACGTGTTCCCACCAATACCAAAGTCTCTCGAGGACCTCGGGAGGACCCTGGAGGATCCGCAATACAAGAACCGGTTTGGCGACACAAAGGATGGCAAACCTTACTTCCGCGTGTGCAAGACGGGCACTGCCAGGGAAGGGACCATTGCTGTCTTTATCAGCGGCCATTTGGAGCACTTGCTTACATCCAGCGAGTGCTTCCACATCGATGGACATTTTAAGACCACCCCTAGTGTTAAAGACTGTTATCAGCTGATAACTATCATGGCAGTAGCCTATGATCACGTAAGTAATGGTCGCCATTGCGTCACCCTGCACAGTCTGTCCGGGCAGGGAGTGAGTTTGGCTGCCTATCCCCCATTCTTAGCGTGTAGCCGCTAAAGGGGGATAGGCAGCCAAACTCAATGTCACAGTATTCGCAGTCACAATTATTTCCACCCAGTGTGACACTTGGTGCAAAATTGTTTGAAGATTTATTGTTTTTTATAATATTTACAGGTATTCCCTGTTGTGTCCGCCCTTATGACACGGAAAACTAAGGAAGCATATAAGATGCTATTTAAATCAGTGAAGGAACTCTGCCCGGGCATCCGGATGCCCCACATCATGTCAGACTTTGAGAAGGGCCTGTGCGGAGCATTGAGGGAAGAGTTTCCTGAGACCACTTTAACGGGTTGCTTATTTCACGTGGACCAAGTACGAGCATTGCTGTCAGCTTTATCTTAATTAGCCAAACTTTGGCTTCTGCTGAATTACTTAATTAATTTCATTGTACCATTTTTAGGCTATGTGCAAGAAAAGTGCAAAACTGGGCTTGCGGCCTCTTTTGCAAGAGAATCAGGCGGCAGGAGAAGTTGTACGGATGTGCATGGCTCTGCCCTTCCTTCCCCATGATAAAATCGATAATGGCTTCAAGGAGGTCAAGGAACACTCCGAATTGCAAGAATTTCATGAAGAGGTTAAGCCCTTTCTGGAGTATGTTGACAAAACGTGGATTAAGGGTAAGCGTTTCGTCTGTCTTATTGTGCTGTTGTGTTCAGAAACTTATTAATTTGCATTGATAGGCGGTGTTTTATACACCGCACACGATCGGTCAGATGAGTAAGTTAGGCTGCCTATCTCAAAGGCGCTGCCAGCTGTCCGCTCTGTGCCGCTCGCCACGTTTGGCTCCGACTGGCTGAGGCGGAGGATATTGCCAATGGGCACTTTGTTGGTACCCAACTGCACCCAACACAGTCGCGGTTAGCTAGCGTTGTCTCTTAAGTTAACGGCGCGCGTGAGAACGGGCGGGCGGACGTGCGTGGGTGAGAGCGTCGATCGTAGCGCCCACGGACAACGCCGGCTGCTCGGAGGGCCGCTGGAATCCCCTCGGGACCATTCGGGACCTGTTCGGGACCACCCGAATGGTTCCGAATGGACTCCGAGCAGCCGGCGTTGTCCGTGGGCGCTACAATCGACGCTCTCGTCCACGCGCGTCCGCCCGCCCGTTCTCACGCGCGCCGTTAACTTTACAGGCCCATGGCGATGAGAGGCGAGCGTGCAGAAGCGAGGCAAGCGAAGCTGAGTGCTGTTTTGTGAAGGCAGCCCAACTTACTGATTTGCTAGTGCTGATTATCCCTAAGTTTTTATGGATACAGGAAGAATTGTTCTAATGTTGACGATAATTACCTTTTTATAAAGGCGTTGGCGCAAAGCATCTTTCTGTTTATCGCCGACACAGGCGTACTAACAACGACCAGGTAAATAAGTTGTTCTTTCCTTTTGTCAAACAAAAACCAAATTTCTGAAACAAAAAGTTTAATGACCTTTCTTTAATGAACGCAGGAGAGCTATCACAGAACGCTGGTTGATATGGTGGGATCTCCACACCCCAACGCCTGGTGCTGGATTGGTAAGCAATGTTTGAACAAAATATGACCGTGTCACAAAAGTAGTGGACAATCTTAACGACTGATCTGTTAATTACAGAAGCCTTCCGAAGCCATGAGGCACACCATTGGAGGCGGTACCTCTCCGTCTCTGCTGGCTTCTCGGTTACCAGGTGCCAGAAGAAAAAATATAGGCTGCTCAACAAAAACATCAGGAACCTAAGCCAGAAAGTCCACGACATGCCGGTCCTGCAGTTTCTAAGGGCTGCCAGCTACCACTGCAAGGAGACGTATAAGAGGGTAGCCCTTACAGAGGAGGCAGTGGGCGATGTCCTCGAAGCGGAGGATGTGGCGACTGAGCTACTGGGGGAACCGGAGCCACTCGACGCGGAAGACGAGGACGAGGCTGCCACCGCCGGAACGTCCCTCCGCGGTGCGCGGGGGAGGGGCCTGACAGGCCGCACTCGAGGAGGGCGTGCACCACATGCAGCGCGTGGAGCACGTGCACCGCGTGCACCACCTGCAGCGCGTGCACCACCTGCACCGCGTGCACCACCTGCACCGCGTGCACCACCTGCAGCGCGTGCACCACCTGCACCGCGTGCACCACCTGCACCGCGTGCACCACCTGCACCGCGTGCACCGCGTGCACCACTTACACGCCGAGGTGCAGCCGCAGAAGGGCTACGCGGCGGTGCCGCCCGTCAAGCGGCGCTGCACCCTCAGACCGAGGGGCCGCCGATGGGCCAAGGCCACCAGGATCAAGTCATCGGCGCCGAGGACCGAGAGGCCCAGGAGCAGCGCGCCACGGTTCCCCAGGTATCACGCCGTGCACGGCGAGGTGCAGCCACAGAGGGGACCCGCGGTGGTGCCACCCGGCAAGCGGTGCTACACTCTCAGAACGAGCAGATCGAAGAAGCGATGGACCAAGGCCACGAGGATCAAGTGCTTGGCGCCGAGGACGAAGTGCAGCCCACCCCGCCACCGCGGCGGCGTGTTGCGCCCAGGAGGGCTCCCCGTCCTGGCACTCCAGCTCCAGCCCGGCGTGCGGCCACTGCAGCCAGGGTGACACGCCGCTCTCCTGCGCTGGCAGCTCAGCGCGAGCAGCGTGCTGTACGGCGGGGGGCGGCGGCCCAAGAGACGGCGGCCGCACGCCGGGAACGAGAGCGGGACGCTCGGGCTAACAGGGCAATACTCCAATTTCAGGAGGAGTTTAACGCTGGTAAGTTTACTATTCCACATATGGAATGTTTAAATGCCGTTGTCTTTTAATTTGATTTTTTTGTTTATTATGTTTCCTTTTTTAACTCTCCAGCTCAGGCTATTAGAGAGCGACAATTATATTGGGAGAGATTGGGCCGGGAGTTGGCGTTGGAAGAACCTGAAGATCTACCTGACGTGCGGATTCTACAGCAACTTCCAGTCGGTACGTAGTTACGTTGCACAATGTTGCCCACAGGCCACGGAAAATCGAAAGGTAGGCTTCTGTGGCAGGCGAAGTGTGACTTGTAAATCATCACTTTGAAGTTAAAATTATTTTGTTTAGAATTTTGTTTTATTTTTTCACAGTTGATCCGAATGAACCGACGCCTGCTGAATTTGAAATAATGAATGCCATGCGGGAGAGTGGGCCAGTTGGCGTTGATGAGTCAAACTGGCGAGTATGCAAGACCTATTTGACGCACAGGGAATTCACCAGAGATGAGGCATGGCAGCAAGTGAACGAAGTGGCCCGGCTCGTTCAGATGTTGCCGCCAGTTGAGGACTCAGTTGCGGAGGACGGTGAAGAGTCCTGCGTATGCTGTGACAATAAGGCAGCACGCACTTGCTACCCGTGCACGCACAAAGTGTTGTGCAATGAGTGCTGCATGAAGTGCTTTTCTACTTTCAAAATCAAACCAAACGGGATGGCGGTTCCACAATGCTGCCCCGTGTGCAAGTGCGTCATTGGTATGGTTGTATAGTGTGTCGTCTCGAATGATAGGTTTCCATTGCAAACACAAGTCATGAGCTCTAAAAAGGTGGGCTATTTTGTCCCCCACTTTCACCTGCAAAGTGTCTTATCAGGAAGTGATGGCTATTCTTGCTTCACTCAGAAGTAAAACGAGTGGTCCACACTACCAGGTGTAGAACATCATGCCGCCTTTTAATCCAAGGAGATGTCTTGGTTTTTATTTCCAAAGTGTTTGAGTAAATGTTCAGCTGTCCGTCCAAATTGACATAACTTTTCAGAAACATATTTGTCTCGGCAGACATCCCATCCAAACGTATGAAATAATATTTGTTGGTCTATGAAGAAGTTATTTAACTCCAGAGCTAGTAAAACGTCCAAAAAGACCTACTTTTGAAGTTCAATAACTTTTTCATTTCCATCCTACCTGTAACATTTTACTGTATTTCTCTTATGTCTTGTTTATTCGATTCACTTTGTCTGTGTCAAGCTTGATTCGAAAAACCTTACTTGTATTCTTGTCTGTTTTGTCATAATAAATATTAATTCTATCACGGGCTGAGTACCAATTCAAAGTATCTATTCTCCTCGCATTTTATACATATCATGAGGCCTTAGTGGAAGTGTGCATAGGGCAGAAATTTTACTATAGATACGCAAAACATAAAAATAAAACATTTAAGTATATTTAGAACATGTATTAAAATTTGACAATGACATAACTTGTTGAAAATATGACGGAAATGCTAACAATTTCTTGAAGATGTCAATGATGTAAAAGGAATGTAAATGTTCAATACATGTTTTTCAAAACTATAAACCGCAGAGCCAGACTGTTAGTTGATAAAAGTCGTTGCTTGCTTGAACTCACTGGAACAGAAAGTTAAACTAAACAAGAAATAATTGCAGAAGTGCAGACATGTTAATCTCAATGTATGACTAGAATACTTACAATTTAATAACGATACAAATGATGGGAAATAAGAGATAGTGTTTGATGTATGTTGCCCATTTTTTAACCCAAACATGCTTTGACAGCTGGGATGGGTTCTTTAAAAGTATAAACAGCCAGAGTATCAGTTAACAAAAGTCAATGCTGCCCCGCAGTCCCTTAAACAGAGAATAAAACAAAACAATAAATAATTGCAGAAGTGCACACATCTTTAGTTCAATGAATGATTAGAATACTTACAATTTACTAAAGATAAAATGATGGGAAACAAGAGATGTGTGATGGCCATTTTAAAACCAACACTTGCCTAGACAGATGTGCGGCTTCTTCAAAACTATAAACTGCAGAACCAGACTATCAGTTGATAAAAGTCGTTGCTTTTCTGAAGTCCTTTAAAAAAAATAAAACGAGTTACATATTAAGTCATCCTACATTTTGAATATTAATAAATGATGAGCCTCGAATAAAAGTTACAGCTTAGTGCTTTTGGTCAACATTTGCTAAGTTTTTACTTGAAACCGTTAAGCTGTATTAAGTGGCACTATACAATGCCAAATAATAAAATTGGTAGCAATAGACCAACTCTAGAGTTAAAAATTAGGTGAAACTGACAGCGACCACTCTGTACAATTTATAGGATGATTTCACCCCAGAATTTGAATTTTTTAACAACGGTATGAAACAAACGAACCGTTTGTTGTTACCGGATTTCCACAGTAGTGTTCCACAGAGTATAAAAATAAGACGCACTCACCATTGCAATTCTTTGTTCCAAACGGCACCGAAATCCTTTGTTAATTGTGGTTATTCTCTTGCAATTTGGAACCGCAAACGATGCTGCGAACAAGGTAACCACCTGCAAAAGAATCAAACCCGCTGGCCGGGCCTGGCGCTACCCCACGACCAGACGGCTATGGCGCCTCCAGCAGCTACCTGAGTGCGGGGTAGCGCCAGGCCCGGCCAGGGGACCGGATTCTTTTGCAAGTGTTACGTAGAGAGCCTGAGTGGGCGGCGGGGTCTGACGTCACACACTACAACAAAGGTGGCACTCCGTCAGATCAGAGGCGAGTCGGGCTGTGCCTGCGCCACGATTAACGATTCACTACTCATCGTGGATACTCCATGCTCCCCGTGGATACGGTGTACCTACAACATTTTCATAGCGGCGGCACTTGCGTGCGCGGAGGAGTGGAGGGGGACAGCGGCGTGGTCCAGGGATTTAGGGGCGGGGCGTGGTCAGGTAGGCGGGGACGAGGGGGCAGCCAGAGGCCATCCTTACCACCCAGCCTGGGCTACCCTGCGCTTCTGCCGACCCTGCTCTTTTGCACCTCTACCACCCTGCTAGATCTTCAACCCTGCTCTTCTGCAGTTGACCACCCTGCTCACTTGCAGTTGACCACCCTGCCCATTTGCAGTTTACCACCCTGCTCACTTGCCTACCCTGCTCTTTTGGATGCGTCTCAGAGCAAACAAACCATTGTTACGCAAGACAAGAGCGTCACACTGCGTCAGAGTACGCAGTTTCAAGAAGAACCTATTCAGCGAAACATCAATTTGCAGGCAGGCGACATCATCACGCTGCACAGCCAGAACATTCTGAACGAACTCAAAAACCTCCACAGCTTTCAGACGGGGAACGTCTGGAGAGCACGTAAAGACAACAGTGTTGGTACGTGACATCTCCGACCTAAGTCCAACCAAAAACGCAAATAAAATGAATAAAATGCAACCCAGGCAGTAACAGGCTGTTACGCCAGCACTGCCAAACAACTAAAACGCCAAGAGGAGCCTTGAGAAAGGCCCCTCTTCTAAAAAAGACTTATGTGTCAGATTGTGTCCTATACTATAGGACGGCCAAACCGGAAGTGGCCGGATGATGAAGGCGGAGGCCCGTCGAACTGAGGCTGCCTGTCCGCGAGCAGCGTCGTCCGAAAGAGTAGAAACAACGGCGCCGGCGGGCTCGGGGCTGGTTCTCCTGCTGCAAAACCGGTGCGAAAACAGGGCAGCGTGCCCCCAGAGAGATTCGAACTCTCGACCCCCGGTTTACAAGACCGGTGCTCTAACCACTGAGCCATGGGGGCTGCTTGACGTCTGGCTCCGATATTCGCGGCTGTCGCATTGCTTATACGTGTCAACGGCACAGGCAGCGAACCACACCACACACCCCACTGCTCCGGCTGTTCCGTGCTGCAAAACCAGTGCGAAAACAGGGCGGCGTGCCCCCAGAGAGATTCGAACTCTCGACCCCCGGTTTACGAGACCGGTGCTCTAACCACTGAGCCATGGGGGCTCTTGACAGGAGTGAACGCCACGTTCAAAATGGCGTGTTCCTCACTTCCCTCTACAGCGGGTCTCTGCAGTCGGTCTTCGGATCCCCCTTCCACCGATGATTTCCGTTTCCATCGCGGAAGTGGAAGGACAGTCAGCCCAAGTGCGTGCAGTGGCCGTGCCGTCCGACCACATCAGGCGACAGTGGTGTAGTGGTTAGCATAGTTGCCTTCCAAGCAGTTGATCCGGGTTCGATTCCCGGCTGTCGCACTCCTTTTGCGTTTCGAGAGCACGGACGGCATCAGCGGACCACAACACCATACAGCAATGGGATTCGCGCCGCTGCGTTGGCGTAGCATCAGATTCCGTGGTGTAGCGGTTATCACATCTGCCTAACACGCAGAAGGTCCCCAGTTCGATCCTGGGCGGAACCAAGTTTTGCTTCTCGTCAGCTCCTAGAGAGCTATTCCCATGGCCCGAATGATGGGCAATGCCGCCGTAAGCCCTGCCGTTCATCGGGGTAGCGTGGCCGAGCGGTCTAAGGCGCTGGTTTAAGGCACCAGTCTCCTCGGAGGCGTGGGTTCGAATCCCACCGCTGCCACGTCTTTTGAAGAAGCGAGAAGAAAGGAAGGAAGATGGGGGTGCGGGGGAGAATAAATTTTCTTCCCCTTCCCCTCCTGGCCAAAAGAATTTGGACGACCGTGACAGGACTCGAACCTGCTATCTTCGGATCCGAAGTCCGACGCCTTATCCATTAGGCCACACGGTCCTCGATCCCGGAGGCACGCTGCTGGACCATGCTACCGGTGCTGCGCGGGCAAGCAACTGACGAAACTTCATCCAAAGGAGAAACGCGCCCCCGGGTGGGGTCGAACCACCAACCTTTCGGTTAACAGCCGAACGCGCTAACCATTGCGCCACGGAGGCCGCTGATAATGCGCCTCCACTTCACAGCTCCAAGTGTCTCGTCGCCTACGCCGATGCCGTGTCTTGATCCATTGGAGTAGGCTGGCGACAAAATTGCATCGGCCGGGAATCGAACCCGGGCCGCCCGCGTGGCAGGCGAGCATGCCGCCGTGCTGTCCGGCGCCCCCACCCCCAAGGGCGTCCACAACGCGTCGAACATCTGGTCGGCGGCGCGGAACGCCTCGCGCCGGCTGGCCGCCAAGATCGTCGACTTCAGGTGGGGCTGGAGCCCCACGCTGGACCGCCTGCAGGTGCACGTGCCGTTCCCCGGCAGGGAGGTGGAGGGTGCCATCGTGGACGCCGCCTCCCGCCACCTCCTACACCATAAGATTCGCCAGGGCCTCCAGCACCGCCACCTACTCAACCTCATCGCCAAGCCGGACCAGGGCAAGGTGTACGAGGCCGCGTCCCGCGACCCCGCCTCCAACCACTTCCACGGCGCGGGTCAGTCCATGCGGTTCTGCGACTGGCGCTTCGTGCACCGCGCGCGCCTCGGCGTGCTGCCCCTCAACGGCTGCGTCCGGGGCATCCAGGGCCGCGGCCGGTCCTGCAGGGCGTGCGGCCACCCCGACGAGACCACCGCCCACGTGCTGAACCACTGCTTCGCGCGCCACTCCATCGCCATCAACAACCGGCACCGCGCCGTGCTGCGGAACGTCGTGGAGGCCCTGCCCGAGCCCGTCCGCCGCAACGCCAAGCTGGAGAGGACCGTCGCCGGCTCCGGGTCTGACGACAAGCCCGACCTGGTCGTCATCGACGAGGATCTGCGGACGGCGGTCATCGTCGATGTCTGCTGCCCGTTCGACAAGCGCTACCACGCCCTGGAGGTCGCGCGCCGCTACAAGGAGGCCAATTACCAGCACCTCGTGGACCACCTGCGGGGCCGCGGCCTGGCGGCGTCGGCGCACGCCATCGTCGTGGGCAGCCTGGGCAGCTGGGACCCGGCCAACGACGCGGTGCTGGCGCGGTGGCTCTTCATCCTGCCGCACGCCATCAAGAGCCTCAAGCGCAAGTGCGTCAGTGACGTCATTCGCTGGTCGCGCGACCTGTACGTCGAGCACGTCTCGCAGAAGCGGCAGTTCAGCGAGAACGTCACGCTGCCCGCGGAGACGCGTGCAAGTGAGCCAGGTTAGCAACTGCGCCAGGTAAGCAAGTGAGCCACGTTAGCGAGTGAGCCAGGCTGTCGACTGCGCCAGGTTAGCAAGTGAGCCAGGTTGTCAGCTGCGCCAGGTTATCGAATGTCGCAGGCCTGCAGTTGAGCCAGGTTAGCGACTGCGCCAGGTTTGCAACTGAGCCAGGTTAGCGAGTGAGCCAGGTCGGCGGGTGAGCCAGGTTATGGTGCGGCAACGCTGCACTGCCGCGGCCCCCTGCCACCACACCTTCGCCCCGCCTCCCAACCCCCACGCTCCAGAGGAGGCGGAGGCAAGGGAGGGGGCAGCGAGTGCTGCAGCAGCCGGCTAGCCACTAGCCCGTACCGCTCTCGGATGGCGCTCGATGCACGGAGGCTGGTGGCGTAGTGGTACCGCAGCGGATTCGCATGCGTCGCGTCCGTGATTCGAAACTCACTATTTGCTCTCATTTTAGGCATTATTATTTTTTCGTCATTTAGATATAAAATTGTCTGACTTAGAACAGGGTTGATCGATCGCTTTGGTTACAAAGACAACACTTCGAAAATTCAGTGTTTTGAAGGTGATGCTTGGGTGAAAACGGGAAATCTTATAACAATTGTCTGAGGTGGTGAAAACTGTAAGGTATTAATGTTATGTGTGGTAAACTAATCCACTCCCAGTTTCTTCCTAACCCCACCAACCATTAAGCCGCAGTAGTTTGTTTTCAACGAAATAGAGTGTTTCGTAGCAAAGTCAGCCACATCTGCCCCAAAAAAGAATCGCTGACATTTTTGCTGAATCACTGCTTTTACTGCCGACTCTGGTTAGCTGATAAAGTCAGCTGCAAGTCACAGATGCAAGTAAAGAAAATGTGATGAGTTTTCTGGGTACACCATCTTTGCAATCAATAAGCGAAGCTTAATCGTTGCCCAGAGCCAAACTTGTGTCTGGGTAACTAACCCTGAATATACTTTTATAAAAATTCTTCACCACACAAATTTGCATCAAGAAAAGCATCTCCACTTCCTTCTCTTCTTTAAATGAAGCTCACAAATGAAGCTCACGGAGCAGTTTTTTTCTTTTTTTCATTAAAAATTGTTTACTTTTAGAAGTTTTGGTAAAAATTGTAAGAATTGGAGCAAAACTCCAGATTAAACCATTCAGAATGAGTTGAAACTTTTGGGCTGAAGATTGCTGTAATTAAACTCATCATACTCAAATCTTTACACAGAAGTTTTCGGTTTGGTAGGCGTTCCATCAAATAAAAAGTTCAAAGACAGATATAAAATCTTACGAGAACCAAAACTTTAAACGTTTCTACTAAATTTCCAAAAAGTGTCCAAAGTCACTTTACTTTATGCCAAAATGAAGCTTACTCAATTATCTGAAATGGTTTTAATACATAAAATGGTTTTAATAAATAAAAATTTTATCCTTCTACATCAAAAAAAAAATTTTGCAAAGTGCTTTTAACATGTATGAGCCCTCTTAAATTCAAAATCATTCTTGTT